ATACAATTTCATATTACACAATATAAAATCTTACTCCGAACTGAAATTCGAAGGAATAAATGGAAACGTTGGCACGTTGACCCATGAAAAAAGTACGAGTATAAAACCACGTGTCTTGGGAAAGTAAGTGTCCTCTGCTTCATCGACGACACCCGCCATATAAATGTTGGTAAATCCAAAAATGTAATGTTATGTTATACAATTAGGACAGAATTAACAACGAAACTATCAGACATACTAACGAGCATCGAACACATCTAACTTGATATCTCACAGGAAGTAGAATTTATACATATAGATTATCATGGCGACCACAAGACCAACAGGAAGCCTTCAACAACAAATCGTGACGTTTAGAAGAACTTTTTAAATATTAAACCAACTGCAATAGAACCAAGTTATTTTCTAGAAATGGAAAAGTTCACGAAAAGAAATCGAACTCAATGGCTTTATCAGCTAAAGGTAATCCGGCCTACATATTATCGAAACAATTCAACACAGAAATACTAGCTAATCTCGTTTCAGTATTACAATCATTCAGATTGCCTATTGATAAGAAACCTCCCTCGTTTCTGGTGAATTATGATTCATCCAATTACTCAACCAAACCTATTGAGATACTGTTCGTTATTGAAATGGAATTAAATGCTTTATGTATCTTAATTCTGAAGAGCTTTTGACCAATCTTGAACACTTTCAACAGTTAATTTTTTCCATTTTGTACACTCCCATAACCGATTCTAAACTTAACGAACACCATCCTGTTTTTTTCAGATGAAAACTTTTCTTTTCAATGAAAGGCGAGCAATGGTACGTATATCTTGTACTCGTTGAGATGGCAATAGTCTGTTGTAAGATCAGATCATCAAGCTCCACGAAAATATTGTCAGCTGGAAGTTCAAGTTTAGCTTAAGATATGCTTTAGAAGGAAAGCTCTTATTATCAGACTACAATGACTTTATTCTATTACGAATGTAGTAAGGTAATGTACAACAATTAGGAAATTCAATGGTTTAGAAGATTTTTTCATGACAGCATGTTTTCAAGATAAAAAAACCCAAGAGAATGAGAGCGTTCCCTCAGTTAAGAATGGGTTAAGGAAATGTACAAATGTTCTTAAAGAGAGAACAACATTATAATAAGACTGTAACCTTGATTTGATAGTGTTAAGAATGGCAGTAAGAAATACATAATGTCTGGATGTACCCTAATCCAACATAAACGAGGAAGGTCAATATCCTTGTCATAAACTGGGAATGTTATTGATTGTAATACTGAAGAAAAATAGCAAGACTTGTTTTTATGCTGGAAGATTGAATCATGTTCCACCTGTAGGGTTATCTGTTTACTGTCCCCCTTATTCCTGAACAAGAACTCTTATAAACAACGACTAGGTGTTCAAGCTTTAATCGATGAGATTTGCCTTAAAACAATAATAAAATTATTGACTCTGCTATTCGGAAACGCTCTCCAAATCTGGGAATCGATGTCATTGTGTTTTCCATATTATGAATTTCATTTCATAGATGGCAACAACATTGCTGTTTTTCAACCTTTGATATTAATTTGTCGCACCTGATTTGCTATTATATGGCTTGTTCCAAACATAATGATTTCACGATTGACAGCTGACAAAAGAAAAAAAATACAACACAGGGATTGGAAAGATGCAGGCTGATAAGGACAACGGTTAAGTTTTCGTGATTGAAATCATTAGCACTATGAAATTAGATATGTCAAATTGCTCAATACAACGTTTCGTTGTTATATAAACTGAATTAAGAAAACAACTTTTTTTCTTTTTTTCAGAATATTTCATTGTCAATATTTTTTTTGGAAAAAATGGGCAAAAGAAATAGCCTATGAAAGCCCTTCCAATACAATAACAAACAAAAGTACAGACATATCAATCAAATAGTCAGTAAATTATAGAATGATATTAAATAAACAACAGAGAGAGATATTAGAACATCAGAATCTTGCACATAGTTTTCAATGAATACATAAACGATAAAATACTATTATCAGTTATCATTAATGAGTAAAAGGCTAATAGCAATTGTGTCAAAATTAAGACCAACTCTTCCCTTAAATTGAAGCAGGAACAGGCTCCCACAGTCCACAAACTCACAAACCTGTGCCTGGTCAATAATATTATATTGCTGCGACGGTCTTCCTTTTACTCGTGGAATTAGGCCAACAATTCATCGTAAACAAAAGATTTAAAGCTGATTGACAGTGGAATCTTTTGGTAGGAAACCATACTGTTTTCTAGAGAAAATATATCATATATTAAATATGTATTTAAAATGGGTTTTTTTTCAAAAATCTTACAAATGATACGAGTATTAAAGATTGGCCTGTAGTTGGATCGGTCACTTTTCCGTTATATTCTGGTATAACATTACATCCAGGAGGTAGAGAATACTTCTGCAGAGACAGATTTTTGAAAAAGTAAGGTGGTTTAACAAGAGATTGGGGGATTTCTTTTTGGAATTTAGAAGGAATGGTATCAGACTTGCTGGTTTATTAGTATTTAGAAGCTTTGGCTGGTCAGTGATATCCTGTTCAGTTATGTCAATAGAAGAGAAATTATGTCGTGGTTGAGGACAGTCAGGAGGCAAATCTTCAGCATTCTTTTCTGTTACAGAGATAGTAATCATTGAAAGACCCATCTTTATTAATAGGTTGTATTTTCAGATCATCGTTAGTTACCAAAGGACAGCCAGTATCATTTTTATTTTGTAGATTCATAACGGATTTTGCAACTAGAGAGTAGACTTTTTCCAATAAGAAAAGACTGTAATTTGATAAATAATTTTCTTTGGTCGCCTACATTACATCAATTACTTCATTTCGAATAGTTCTAAATTTATTCCAAGTGGCTGGGATATTAATTTACTATAGAATGCGGACGATTTCCCCGTCTTATTTTCATCCCGATTTTGGACAGTGGTCGCTACAGGAGGTAGGGAATACAGAGTTGACAACGTTAATATAAGCAGTGATAAACATATAAAGGGACGTTTCAGAGTGAGGAGTAATCCTGGTAGGTTCGATAATAGTATTTGGTAATACCTATTTTGATAAAAGCCTGTGAAGATGAGAATTTGGATTAAAGCTTAACAAGTCTTGATTAATATTTTCCGCGACTGGCAAACAATTTCATGACAGATGATGTCTACTTCGAAATTCAGCTTGAACAGCACCATTTCAATGGTCGTCGTATCTTTCTTTTGTTCATGTTCTCATCTCGTACATTGATGTTCCTTATTCTTTAATATGTAAAGTCCTGATTCTATAACATATAAAGTCCCGATTCTTTAACTTGTAAAGATTTCTATGGTATTTACTATACTGTATGGTGACAACTTCCACCACAATCTATTGGCACAGATGAACCTTCTGGGTGCAATGATTGCACATGTCTGGCATTTCACGAAGCAAAGAAAACGCACTCTCAAAGACGACATCATCTCAGTTATTGACATTACAATAATCCAATCAAATTCCCAGAAACATCACATCAATATTGCACTTTATAACGAAGGTTCTTGAAAGACTCAGCGAAACATTATTCTGGCGACCACTAAAACCTTGATAGGAAACTTTATAATATTAAACTGTTGCTTGCAACTTCTGGGAACTAGCTTGAAGTCTTCATCATGTCAAAGTTGCACCTGACAACCAACTTGGAAATTTCCTGATGCTAAACCTGCTCCTACCGACTTCGCAAAACTGTCTTGTCGACTCCATAATACTTGAGCTGTTCCTGACGACCTCTAGGAACAACATTGGTGAAGCCATAATATTAAAACAATTCTTTCCGACCTCCGAAAACTATCTTGTATACTTCATAAAACTGTTAATGTAGTACGCTGGAAACGAACTCAGAGACCATTTGATATTAAACTTGCTACTGGCGATCTTTGGCAACTCTCTCGGTGACCCCAAAATGCTTAAACTGTTAATAAATATACTCTAGAAACGGAAACAAGCTTGGAGACCATTTGATATTTAACCTGTTACTGGTGATCTCTAGAAACTATTTTAGAGACTTCATGATACTAAGCCTGTTCCTGGCGATCTCTTGCCACTTTCTTGGTGACTCCAAAATACTAAAAACTGTTAATAGTGTACTCTAGAAACGAGCTTGAAGACCATATAATACTAATAGTGTTACTTGCGATCTCTGGAAACTTTCCTGGAGACTCCAAACTACTAAACATGTTCCTGTCGATCTCTGAAAACTATCGTGGAGACTCCAGAATACTAAATGTGTACCTGGTGATATCTGGAAACTATCTTGGAGACTCCAGAATACTAAATGTGTACCTGGCGATCTCAGGAAACTTTCCTGGAAACTCCAAACTACTAAACGTGTTCCTGTCGATCTCTGGAAACTATCGTGGAGACTCCAGAATACTAAATGTGTACCTGGTGATCTCTGGAAACTATCTTGGAGACTCCAGAATACTAAATGTGTACCTGGCGATCTCTGGAAACTTTCCTGGAAACTCCAAACTACTAAACGTGTTCCTGTCGATCTCTGGAAACTATCGTGGAGACTCCAGAATACTAAATGTGTACCTGGTGATCTCTGGAAACTATCTTGGAGACTCCAGAATACTAAATGTGTACCTGGCGATCTCTGGAAACTTTCCTGGAAACTCCAAACTACTAAACGTGTTCCTGTCGATCTTTGAAAACTATCGTGGAGACTCCAGAATACTAAATGTGTATCTGGTGATCTCTGGAAACTATCTTGGAGACTCCAGAATACTAAATGTGTACCTGTCGATCTCTGAAAACTATCGTGGAGACTCCAGAATACTAAATGTGTATCTGGTGATCTCTGGAAACTATCTTGGAGACTCCAGAATACTAAATGTGTTCCTGGTGATCTCTTATCTTATCAGTTATCAGTTATCTTATCATTTTTTCAACTGAAAGTTACAACATACAATTCTCAATATACAAATACAATAAAAGCCATGAAGTTCATTTCATATATTTAATGGGAGCATATAAGTCATAAATTAAATCTACACAATGGGATTATGATATATTTAATCAACATCTTACAAAAGTTGACATCATTTTATAAAACAAGGACAACTTAAACTAGCCTTGAAGTAGTTTCCACCCCAGATACTAGACTGAGTCTTCAAGGGCAAAATGTCATGCATTTATAGTCGATGGGCTGGCAATGATTGTCATGAATATTCAACAGCCATGAAGTAGTTTGCAAGTGTATTTTAGCAGGCAGTCAGCAGTCATGAACACGTGATTCATCAAAAGAACTTTTGTTTGAGAAAATATGCAGATACTCTGTAGAGTTTGTGTAGTGTGCATCATCGGCTCTAGCAAGTCTATTGTTGTGTTGGGTGTAAATCACTTACACTTGTAAGTCTATTGTTGTGTTGGGTGTAAATCACTTACACTTGTAAGTCTATTGTTGTGTTAGGTGTACAGCACTTACACTTGTAAGTCTCTTGTTGTGTTAGGTGTACAGCACTTACACTTGTAAGTCTATAGCTAAATCGTTGTGTGCTGTGTACAGTATTGACCCTTGTAATCTAATCAGTTTGTGGTGTGTACAATGCTGATATGTTTGAACCAATTGCTGTGTGGTATGCGCAGTACTAACAATTGCGAATAAATCATTGTGTTATGTGTACAGTATTAACCCTTGTGAACTAATTGGTTTGTGGTGTGTACAATGCTGATCTGAGTGACCCAATCATTGTGTGGTGTGCAGAGTACTTGCAATTGCGAACAAATCATTGTGTGTACAATGCTGATCTGAGTGAACCAATCATTGTGTGGTGTGTACAGTACTTACATTAATGACATTTACGTACTTGAGAATGCCACATTGAGAGGGAGCTTTACATTTCTATGTCAACAAACAATTCATGATTTCATATTGATGAGGTTGAGTATTGTTCAGTATGTTTAATATATGCACACAGATAACAAGGCCTTGCACAGAGGATGATTTGAGGCTCCAGGAGGGGTTATTTCCTAAAAACAAGGCTGTAACTCTACAGCACAACATTTGAGTGGGGAACCCTAAAGATTGTAAGCTTCCTGGACAAACAGGGCTTTAAATTATACACCACCACATTAGTGTATGGTACCCTAATGATTGTAAGGTCTGCCAGTATTGTACTCTCAGTAAAAAGTTTGCTAACCTATATGTATTATCTACTTACATGTTCATGAAAATACCCTGGAAAATGCACAAAACTTGCTACATATGATGTCACAAAGCAGCTTTGATCATTGACAAAAAAGTGCAAAATGCTGAACATTTGACATGATAAAAAGTCCTTTTTGCATTTTATAATTCTACAAACCCAAAAGATGCATCCAAATCATCACTTAGATACTAGAATTCTCCCTCAAGGAGCCTCAATATAACGGTTTTACTGGAAACAAAGCCTTCCAAAATATTCCTTCACATGTCACACATAGGAGTGTGCATACAAAAAAACGGGTTTGTACAAATATAAGTTGAACTTTCTAAACCTGAAATTTAACAGTGAGTCTGATTCCTATGTGCTCTGTATAGTTGGTAATATTTACTGAGTATTTCATTTATCTATATTCACAGTCAGCCAAGACAGAGCGAAATCAAATATCAAGCAAATATTCAATATAAATCCAAATATCATTAGCTAACAGGAGAAAATGTTTGGATGTCTCCCCATTCCTGGGTCATTTTATGCTAATATAGCAGAAGATAAAGTTTCCAACGACAACAGAGAGTTGTTTGTATCACATTAAAACTAAGGAAGGAATAAGTTGGTTAAAAAGGTTGTCCCCAGGACCTAGCTATCAGTATGGTACTTCTATTGCTGCCTTATTATGCTACTGTATCACAAACACCAATGAGACAATTATATCTAAGGGAGCTAACTGTACCAGACTCGGGCAAACAAAAGTTACTAGCCCTGAATACAATTATTCCTGCACCAATAAAATCGGATTACATACAAAAATCTGTCATTAAAAAAAATTTCTTTTGAAAAAAAAAAATATTTGAAGAAATTTTCCTTTATAAGAACAAACTGATAACATCACCATATGATATAACATTACAGGACATAAACATAACAAAAACCTGCTACATACAGGAACATATCAGACCTGTTACATTCTGGGACATATCAGACCTGCTACATACAGGAACATATCAGACCTGCTACATACAGGAACATATCAGACCTGTTACATTCTGGGACATATCAGACCTGCTACATACAGGAACATATCAGACCTGCTACATACAGGAACATATCAGTCCTGCTACATACAGGAACATATCAGACCTGCTACATTCTGGAACATATCACACCTGCTACATTCTGGAACATGCTACATTCTAGGACATATAAGACCTGCTACATTCTGGGACATATCAGACCTGCTACATACTGGGACATATCACACCTGCAACATACAGGAACATATCAGACATTCTACATTCTAGGACATATCAGACCTGCTACATTCTGGGACATATCACACCTGCTACATACAGGAACATATCAGACCTGTACAGGAACATATCAGACCTGCTACATACAGGAACATATCAGACCTGCTACATACAGGAACATATCAGACCTGCTACATTCTGGAACATATCAGACCTGCTACATTCTACACACAGGACATATCAGACCTGCTACATTCTGGAACATATCACCTGAACATATCAGACCTGCTACATTCTGGAACATATCAGACCTGCTACATACAGGAACATATCAGACCTGCTACATACAGGAACATATCAGACCTGCTACATTCTGGAACATATCAGACCTGCTACATACAGCGACATATCAGACCTGTTACATACAGGAACATATCAGATCTGCTACATTCTGGAACATATCAGACCTGCCACATTCTGGAACATATCAGACCTGCTACATTCTGGAACATATCAGACCTGCTACATACAGCGACATAAGGTCATGCTACATACATGGACATAATGGATGCCCATAACAGGCTTGTTACAAAATGAAATGTTACATGTATGACCTGCAGGTAAGACCTGCAACATACAGAGACATAAAAAACATGCTACATACTGGGACAAAACAGATGTACATAAAAGACCTGCTAAAACCACAAACATGAATGACCTGCTACATACAAGAACATAACAAACCTGCTACATAAAGAGAAATATCAGTCACAGGTATGAGTTCACTATGTAAAAATGATTCAGCTTTAATGAGACAGAAATATCAAGACTAGATAATACATTATGTGTTTAGGAAGCTCACCAGTGATAGTTTCAGCACTTCTGGGTCCCATGATGGAACCAGCAATACTATACAACATACACATCATTGATACATCATTATATTAATCAACTTCCAAATCTTTTTGGAAATAAACCATTATAAAAACAACAACGTCTTGGACATAATTTCATAAAAATAAACCCAATGTTTGGGCATCGCTGAGAAATATATATCGTTTCTACATTTCATTCAAATCCTCATCCTCCGAAAACAAGTTACTTATAGCGGAGAAGCCAGTGATTAAAGGTTACAAAAATTAATATACTAAATGACATCACACTGGCTGATTGTTCAAAGTCAACAATGCATTTTCAGCAAAATTCTAAATTATTGATATATGTCCAGAAAGGTCTCAAAACTAGGTTTGGTAAAAGTTAAATCTAAAACCATTAAAACCATCGACAGATTTTAGATAAACAAAAAAAAAATTGAACGGTTTGCGACAGATAAAACAAATCCACATCTGAAATAATTCATGGTTTCTCTTCTGTCTTGTCCCACTTTGAACAATGGAGCCAGGGATGTCACCAGCTTATCCAGCATACAGGAAATAATGTAGCCACTACTGAGAGTGTTGGTCAATCAGCACTACTTACACACAAAAATACCCCAGACAAGGCCTCAATGCAACTAACAACTTGTTGTAACAGTCTTAATCATAAGCACAAATACCTGAAATGTTTTGTGAAGTCGTGACCTGATTACAGAATACAGCAGTCCTTATATGGTCACTCTCAATACCATCAGTCACAACTTTAGTACAACTACACAATACTCACAATTTTTTTTTCATTTTCTACATGAAAAAAAATTATCAGAATTATCTCTTAATTGAAAAAAAATTAAAAAAAGGAAATTTCATACAGAGAAAATCTTTCCTGTTGAGATTTAAAATCAAATTACTGACAGACTCAACCTAGGCCAGCTAGGGAGTATATTGCCTTTTATCTTATTTGCAAATTTAGTATAGTTTGATTTAAAAATGGTTTTGTAATAAAATTTGTAAAGTTACCCTGTTCAAATTAATACTAGTACCTAATGTTAAGGTGTCATTTTCTTTCAAAGGCACACTTTAATATGAAAAAAATCCACAGGTATTATTACATAGAGCTCTCTCCTTGTAATAAATCAACAGATATTACACAATTATCTCCCCTCTGATCAGATAGTTGTGGAATCAATATTTCGATGTTTCTCCTACTTAAGTTGTTTGTTCAATGCAATTTCTTAATTTGGTTTTTCAACTTTAAAACTCAAGAAAAATATTAAAACTAAAAACAGTAACAACCACATATATAATTATCAACTACAACCTTATTTATTGTATATAAGATAACAAAAAGAACCTGTCTTTATGGTTGGGATATACTTTTCAATGTATACAAAATATATCCATTTGATTTTTTTTGTCTTATTTTTGTTTTTATTTTTTGGGGGGTTTTCTTTTTGAAATGAGCAACCTGTCAATTTGAATCAACTTTTTTTTTTTTTATTATTTATTGATCAATAGGATTTAGAGAGCTGAGAATATCAATGTTTGTATACATGTTTGTAAAAAAATCCACAACATAAATACAGTGCCCTAATATACTGACATTGTTCTATAGATATATAGAGAAGACCTATTACACTCTAATTTTACTGAAATTAATTAATATTCTAAGATAAATGTCATTTAACACTACCCTGTATACATTCTGGCCTTAAAAACATCAAATAAACAGGATACAGGTAAAAACAACATTGGCACATGGATTATCTACCCTTACCTACCCCAACACATTGCAACAAGAACACATCTAGGGTAACAACAGTTTATCTCAATAACAAAAGGGGAGGGTTAAAGGGGATCAATTACATAAACAAAATAAAAAAAGTCACATGTATGCCATACAAGCCAACCAAGTGAGTACCGGGACTTGTAGATATCACAACCGACATCAGTCTATCAAACATCCAGTCTCCAGAGAAACTGTCCAGCAGCTTTTTGGGTCTGGAAGCCCGGTCCTTCAGTCACATGACCAATGATCTCACAGTTACATGACCCAGAACCTCAATGTCACATGAGTTAAAGCCTCAAGGTCACATGACCAAAAGTTTCAATCTCACATAAGCCACCCCTCGAGGTCATATAACTTTCAGCTTCATTGTCCTATGAGCAGAGCACTGTAACATGACCAGGACCTCAGTGACATTACCAGAACTTCAATGTCACATGACCAGAGCTTCAATGTCACATGACCTGAGCTTCACTGTCACATGAACAGAGCTTTCAAGTCACATGACCTCGGCCTCAATGTTACATGACATATGCTTTGGAAGAACAGTAATGTAACCAGGAAATCACAAAGATCTCAATCTGTTTATAAATATCTTTCATGAGCTGACAAAGTCTCTATTCTACCATCCACTTCATCCTGTTTCTCATTAAAATAAGGTAACAACCTTTCTGCTATTATGTATGCAAATGTTTCTGCCCAAACACAGAGACAAAAAGTCATGGCAGTTCGTACAAACAGACACACTGACATAACAATGCCAAAAAGGACATCTTGTGATCATCCTGGTTACACTACAAACCTGGTCACATCAAAAGTCAGAAAAGAAACTAGTGCCGAGAGCAGCAATGGAAGAACGAGGATTTGGCTCTTTGTCATAAACTAAGTTTTTTCAGTCGCCGCCGGCCCCGCCTGCGATTGTGATTTCGAGCATCTTGTTCCTCTCGACTGCGTACAATGAAGTTAAGTTCAGAACCACTATTGTTCATAGCATAAAATACATTTACTTTATCAGGGATCAGCATTTCTACAAGGAAAATAGAAATTTATTAAATTCAAGTCAACAAGTTGTTTGTGAATATATACACATCCAGCTGATATAACAATGACAATATTATCATACATCGAATCTTTACTTAAATAAAATAGTCAGCATCAGTTTCAATCCTATTTCTACATAGTGTATCCTGGATAGTTTTCAATTCCCATTAAACAGCAGATAATGATCTGTAATGTCCAGTGACAATAATTCATAGACTTCATCTACAGTAAAATTTTCAACAATAAGTTAACTACATCCAGATCTAGCTTACAATGATATCAACATGTGTAGTATACTCACCCCCATCTGGCAGGACCTGCAGAAGACAATAGTCCTTGTGGCGACCTTGTACTGAGTATTTCTCTAGGACCTTGTCAATGACATTGTTGGTGTGGTCAGCATTGTGCAGCTGAAAATCGTGTTAATGATGAATAACATTGTGAGCAATGACAGAATGCATACACAGGATACATAAGGTATGATATAATGAGGCTGTATATAATACACTGAATACAAAGGAAATGAAATAATGTGGGCTTGTGCAATTAAGCCAACTTTGACCAATGACCTTGACCTTCGATTAAAACTGTGGTTCTGGTAACAACAATTTGAAAGCTGTTTTTGAACAGATTTTAAATCTGACTTCATACAATGACCTTGACTCAATACTTTGGAAAAGGTGGCACACAAAGAGAGTAAATTTGTATAAATTTTATCCAATCTCTACCATTGAATATATTCAGCCTACACGGCCAGACTGTGCATTTGACCTTTAACAGTGACCATGGCCATGGTCCGAGGTATGTAAAAATGGTGGTACATGGCATGTATTCTAGGATTAATATACATGCATTTCTTAAGGTTTTTCCATGGTGATTTTTAATGCAGGAGCGTATTTGGTTACAGGAAAAATATATTTTTGTTTTTATTTTAGTGCACACAATGTATGTCTTATGAAAGAAATAAAGTGTCCATGCTATTCTGTTTGTTCATGTGTTAATGATAATACATACCACAATACTTTTGTACATGTGTGTCTGGACATCCATACCATAATACTTTTGTATACATGTGTCTGGGCATACATACCATAATACTTTTGTATACATGTGCCTGGGCATACATACCATAATACTTTTGTACATGTGTGTCTGGACATCCATACCATAATACTTTTGTATACATGTGTGTCCATACCATAATACTTTTGTATACATGTGTCTGGGCATACATACCATAATACTTTTGTATACATGTGTCTGGGCATACATACCATAATACTTTTGTACATGTGTGTCTGGACATCCATACCATAATACTTTTGTATACATGTGTCTGGGCATACATACCATAATACTTTTGTATACATGTGTCTGGGCATACATACCATAATACTTTTGTATACATGTGTCTGGGCATACATACCATAATACTTTTGTATACATGTGTCTGGGCATACATACTATAATACTTTTGTATACATGTGTCTGGGCATACATACTATAATATTTTTGTATACATGTGTCTGGGCATACATACCATAATACTTTTGTTTATTTGTGTCTGGGCTTACATACCATAATACTTTTGTATACATGTGTCTGGGCATACATACCATAATACTTTTGTATACATGTGTCTGGGCGTTGGCTCCAGACTCAAAGCTGACCCTGACAACACAATGGTCGGAGGACTTGAACGGTGACATGGGGTCACTGTCATAGGACAACAGCGAGGATGTAGATGATGAATGAGACATCTAAAATAAACACAATAGAATTCAGAAATTTTTTTCACATCGATATGTTTGGTACATTCCTTTTCTTCCAAGAAAAGAAGAATTGACTGGCATTAATGGAAGCTGAAGGAGCATGTTTCAGTTTTCATTTATTTTCATTCATTTATTTATTTATTTATTTATTTATTTGTTTGTCCTTAAAAAATGCAGCTTAACTTAAAGCTAATATCAGGACCCCAGACCAGAGATACAACAATATCTTACCCGGTTAATGATTAGTTATAGGCCAAGGTTGATTAAAACACTGTTTATCAGCTCCAACAATATGACAACGCTTATACTTGGGGTGAGTGACACCGGAAAACAACTTACCCCAGGAGTGGGCGATACTGGTGAGTCAAGATTTGAGCTACTGCACACACTGGACCGGTCATCTAGTCCACATGCAAACATGGCAAATCTAGAGCTGTCAAACTTGGCAGGCTTGTGACTTAGACTGAAATGTCAATACATACCCCATTGTTCAAAGTACAACATTCCTTAACAACAACATGTACACTGTATCTTATTTGTAACGACTGTGATTATCATTATTTCTATTTGTTATTACTTTGACACTGTTGAAATTTTGTACTTCAGTGTTATTATGTGTGTGATGCTAAATAAAAAGTATTGACAACTGCTTTAAGTTGAACAGTCTTCTAGAGCGAATTATCCATCACTAGTAAAAGTAAATTAATGGCAAAGTTTCTGAGAGGTAAAACTGAAAATAGAACTCTAGTACCATGTGAAGGACAATTTAGTAGAATGATTTGTAGTGCCATATGAATGAGAAATGAGCAGAATTGACTGTAGTGTTGAGTGAAAGAGAAATGAGCAGAATTGACTGTAGTGTTAAGTGAAAGAGAAATGAGCAGAACTGACTGTAGTGTTGAGTGAAAGAGAAATGAGCAGAATTGACTGTAGTGTTAAGTGAAAGAGAAATGAGCAGAATTGACTGTAGTGTTAAGTGAAAGAGAAATGAGCAGAATTGACTGTAGTGTTAAGTGAAAGAGAAATTAGCAGAATTGACTCTTGTGCCACTTGAATGAGAAATGACCACATAAATTGATATGTCCGTAAAAAAGTATTCTTCAATGGTGATACCTACCTAGAAGACTTCTTTTTGATTTTGGCAGCATCATCTTTCATGGGTTCTATTGCACAAGAGAGGTCATGGCTGTAAATGAAGTAATAATACAGCTGTATGAGATATATTGTATGATAAATACAGCTGTATGAGATATATTGTATGATAAATACAGCTGTATGAGATATATTGTATGATAAATACAGCTGTATGAGATATATTGTATGATAAATACAGCTGTATGAGATATATTGTATGATAAATACAGCTGTATGAGATATATTGTATGATAAATACAGCTGTATGAGATATATTGTATGATAAATACAGCTGTATGAGATATATTGTATGATAAATACAGCTGTATGAGATATATTGTATGATAAATACCATATATAAATACAGATTTCCAAGAACCCAGAAAAGGGCTATGTTGTCAATGTCTACTCTCTATGTATATTATATCATTTTATTATAATACTTAATAATTAAGTCTGGTGTAAAATCAGAACATAAAATTTACTGGAAACATTTCTCACCTTTCACTTTCATCATAAACCCTGACCGAATCAAACCAGAGCCAGACTTGTTGGTCCTCGCAAAGGCTATATATCTGGGCTGCCGACTGAAGCAGCTTTATCTGGGCTAGCACCTCAAACTCCTTACGTCGTTTGTCGAAGTTGATTAGCCCATCGTCGGTACAGTCTGGTATTGCTGTGTCTATCATGGTTAGATCAGTAAGGAACGTTCCCAGATATGGTACTGTACCCTGAACAATACCCTGTAATATACAATATCTTACCCTGAACAATACCTGGTAATATACAATATCCTACTCTGTACAATACCCTGTAATATACAATATCCCACCCTGAACAATACCCTGTAATATACAATATCCTACTCTGTACAATACCCTGTAATATACAATATCCTACTCTGTACAATACCCTGTAATATACAATATCCTACCCTCAACAATACCCTGTAATATACAATATCCTACCCTCAACACTACCCTGTAATATACAATATCCTACCCTGAACAATACCCTGTAATATACAATATCCTACTCTGTACAATACCCTGTAATATACAATATCCTACCCTGAACAATACCCTGTAATATACAATATCCTACCCTGAACACTACCCTGTAATATACAATATCCTACCCTGAACAATACCCTGTAATATACAATATCCTACTCTGTACAATACCCTGTAATATACAATATCCTACCCTGAACAATACCCTGTAATATACAATATCCTACCCTGAACAATACCCTGTAATATACAATATCCTACCCTCAACAATACCCTGTAATATACAATATCCTACCCTCAACAATACCCTGTAATATACAATATCCTACCCTCAACACTACCCTGTAATATACAATATCCTACCCTGAACACTACCCTGTAATATACAATATCCTACCCTGAACAATACCCTGTAATATACAATATCCTACCCTCAACAATACCCTGTAATATACAATATCCTACCCTGAACAATACCCTGTAATATACAATATCCTACCCTCAACACTACCCTGTAATATACAATATCCTACCCTCAACCTACCCTCAACACTACCCTGTAATATACAATATCCTACCCTCAACACTACCCTGTAATATACAATATCCTACCCTCAACAATACCCTGTAATATACAATATCCTACCCTGAACAATACCCTGTAATATACAATATCCTACCCTGAACACTACCCTGTAATATACAATATCCCACCCTGAACAATACCCTGTAATATACAATATCCCACCCTGAACAATACCCTGTAATATACAATATCCCACCCTGAACAATACCCTGTAATATCCAATATCCCACCCTGAACAATACCCTGTAATATACAATATCATACCCTCAACAATACTGTAATATACAACATCCTACTCTGTACAATCTCCACACTTACATTTTCTATCCAGGACTGGCGTTTAGCCATGTTTCTTCTGCGTAATGATTTGTTGTTGGAGTCAACATCAGGGAATTTGGCTGTGGCTTCCTGTTAACAAAATATAGAGTAAGTGTTAGTAACCTGCAGGGACAACAAGAAATGTCCACAACTTCTATTTAGTCCAGTACATCCCAATGATGGACATTAACTGAACCTTTTTCATTAGTGTAAGGCAGTAATCCTTAAACGTTATTTCAATGACCTTCATCTGACTTTGAAATCAATCTTTTAAATGTTTTTTCACTGACCTTCATAAGCAATTCCCTTGAGGCAATCTGGTTATTCTCGTTGGAGAATATGTCTGCCAGCTCCTGAAATAGGGCTATACTTTCTCTGTAAAACAACAAAAATGACAGATATAAGAAGCCAATTTGCAGCATAACCTCACAAGATAACCTTGATTACCTAGATTGTCCCCTCAAAAAGTACTCAGCATTACCCATACTGTTTCCTCACAAAAGTACCCAGCATTACCCATTCTGTTTCCTCACAAAAGTAACCAGCATTACCCATACTGTTTCCTCACAAAAGTAACCAGCATTACCCATACTGTTTCCTCACAAAAGTACCCAGCATTACCCATACTGTTTCCTCACAAAAGTACCCAGCATTACCCATACTGTTTCCTCACTAAAGTAACCAGCATTACCCATACTGTTTCCTCACAAAAGTAACCAGCATTACCCATACTGTTTCCTCACAAAAGTACCCAGCATTACCCATACTGTTTCCTCACAAAAGTACCCAGCATTACCCATATTGTTTCCTCACAAAAGTAACCAGCATTACCCATACTGTTTCCTCACAAAAGTACCCAGCATTACCCATATTGTTTCCTCACAAAAGTACCCAGCATTACCCATATTGTTTCCTCACAAAAGTAACCAGCATTACCCATACTGTTTCCCACAAAAGTAACCAGCATTACCCATACTGTTTCCTCATAAAACAATCTAGATTACTCGGATTGTTTCTGCACAAATCAAACCTAATTTACCTGAATTCTTTCCTCACAAAATACTTGAAGATTTCCAAGATTTTTTTCCCTCACAAAACATCCTAGGTTACCCTCTTACTTCATCCCCAACTTTGTCTCAGTACAACCCAAACATGCCATTTTAATAGAGTTACTTGGTGTAACAATCATTTCACTATTTTTTGACATGTTAACCATAATTATAATTTATATCAGGTCCCACACATGATGATCACAAGATGTTAACACAATTAAAACTAACCAGGTTTATATTTAGTTATGAAGGTAACACATTTCACATTAAACACTAATCAGGTTTATAATTAGTTATGATGTAACTCATTCAACAGTAACAAGGTTTATATTTGATTAGAAGGGTAAATCATTTAACACAAACAGGTTTATATTTGGTTATGATGGTAACACATTTGACACTAACCAGGTCTATATTTGGTTATGATATTAACACATTCAACACTAACCAGGTCTATATTTGGTTATGATGATGACGCATTTAACACTAACCAGGCTTATATTTGGTAAGGATGGCATATACAGTATGTTCTAATATAACATTACATGGCCTGCAATTAACAGTGTGGCCAATGATAAACATTGTGGCCTGTGATCAACATTATGACCTCTGATTAACATTGTGGCCAGTGATTAATACTGAGGCCTCTGATTAACATTGTTGCCAATGATTAACACTATAGCTAGTGATTAACATGCTTAAGTTTTGAAGTGATTAGGCACAGTAACTAGAGATCACAGGACTCATGAATATGAACAGTTCAGATAGTCAGCCACCAAAGACGTAGCAACAGTTCAGAAGGTTAGCAGGAGGGTATGAATAATAACAAATGTTGGCAGGACAGCAGGGATAGTTCTAAACATTTGCAAGGGGATAGGGACGATTATGAAGGTTTGCAGGAGGGTAGACAAAGATACAAAGGGTCACAGTAAGATAGGGAGAGTCAGGCAGAGTCAGGGGACATTACTCCTTACTTGGGAAGGGAGGACCAGGTTCTTCGTAGTCTGTAGACTGCCTGTGCTTGGAGGCCGGAGATTATTGCTTTCAATGACGAAAAGTTTTTCAAATGTCTCAATTCCTGTTAATCATGAGGAATGGAAAATGACTTATTAAACAATCACACAGCAAGATCACATATATTACCATGTTTATTTATGTTTCAATCATATCAATAAATTAGTATGAGCAAGAGAAAACTGTAAAACATTAATTGCTTTTATCTACAAATATAGTATCCACACTTTACTTATCATTATACATAAAAAAATAAGCATTTGTATCTCATACTTGAGCAATGTCTATCCATTTCTGTACAATGCGGGATCGTTGGGAGGATTTCATATCACGATTCTTTAGGATGGTGGCGGAAACACGGAGAGAGACCCTGTTGAATTGGTCAATGGTGGCTAGTACACTACCAGCCACATTACCTCCCTTTCCAAGGCGACGGGCTCGTCTCGCCCACACTGCACCCAAACAGTGGTGTGGTACAACACGCTTGAACAATTCCTGAATAACAAAAAAAAAACCCAAAGATATGACTATGTTGACTAAAAGAATTTAGGTTAGACAGATCAGGAACCAACAACTTTGCCAACTCTGCTTGTTAAAAACAAAAAGAAAAGAAAAAAGAAAAAAAAAAATTAGGTGATATTTTATAAACTTATCTACTACAGTGAAAACCTCGAGGGCCACACTTACTGCATCTTTCCAAGTCAACTGTTCGGCGAGCCGTTGGTTAGGGATGTCCATGAACTGGAGTGGTTTGAGGTATTCAGTATCCATCATGTGGTCAACTTCATCACAAAGGGAAAAGCGGAACTCTATCCCAGCATCTATACATATAGAGAATATCTATACAAGAATCTATATAAATTTAATGGAATATCTATATAAGCATCCATATGAAGAGAATGTGTATAAATATACAGAGAATCTCTATACCAGGATCTACATTAATATATAGAGAATTTCTATACCTACGTCTATGTGAATATACAGAGCAATTCGATACCAGGATCTACCCAAATGTATGGAGAATTTCTATACCAATATCTGTATATATAAACAAAGAATCTCTAAACTATCATCTGTATAAGTATACAGAAAATCTCTGTACCAGCATCTATATAAATATACAGAGAATTTCTTACTGTACCAGCATTTGTAAAATTATTCATGGAATCCCTAAAGTCTTTGTATCAATATACAATAAATCTGTAAATCAACATGTGCACAATAGTTACCTGATCGACTCTGTGCCTCCTTACGGAAGCGTTCGATCTTGTGTCTGGCACGCACAGCAAGGTCAGAGTCAGGAATGTACTGGGAAGAGAACCTCTCTAGCGTGTGAAGGCAGGGATAGTCCGGCTCCTCACGGAAATCATCAGAATATGTGTCTAACCACACAGAAATAACTGATTTCACCGTTCTGTTAAAATAAATAAACACTTTTTATCAATTCCTCCTCATGGGAATCTTTGAAATACATGTCTGGCCATATCAAAAACATATAATTTACCATTCAGTCTAAATAAATCAATATGTTTAATTCAAAATACAATAAATTCTAAATGACTTTTTAATGAAAATTCAGATCTGTTACAAACTTGGTCAAATAGGACAGCAAATGTTACATAAAAGTGTTGTTCAGTATGTCTTACCTCTGTTGAATCTCCTGTAATTCCTTTTTCTCTGTGGTTTCCTGCCCACTCACTTTTAGCCATTTGTATCTGAAAAAACATTTTAAAATACCCAAAATAAATAAACTACATTTTCTGATTTAAACTTTTGACAAGTTTCTAACTCTCCTTGTCCACTTTGAGAAGGGGTTGGTAGACATGCATTGAGGATCTAACTGAAGTTACCATCTCAGATGAGATTTCTGAAACAAATCTAACAATTTTTCATTTTACCAAGGTTCTGATGAGCTCAAAGATTTCATACGAAATAGACATGAATATAAGATTCTGTTTACCACAAAACTTTGAAATTTTCAATAAACTGTAAGATAAGGTAGTACAAAAGACACAAATGAATAGCATCTTTGTATAAAAATTAAGAATAAGAAACAGTTCAGCCAATCTCTTTCTTTCCTGACATCATGAGGCAAATGACACCATAAAGTAGAAGCATCCAGTTTGAAAAAACAGGAACCTTCAGCCTATCACAGCACAGTTAGGTGTTATTACACATATGGCTATAACAAAATTTATGTAATGGGTGCAGTTACCCAGATAACAGGGTAGTGATGTGAGAAATATTACACATGAAACCAAACCATCCTACTCACCGCTCAATGAGCTTGTCCAGCACCTCTCTGGGTGTAGCGAAGGTGCGGTAGGTGGCCAGGAACACATTTACATAGGTGGAGTCCAGCTCTCCTTTGACTGTGACCAGGCTCTCTACCAGCTTCTCCAGTGTGCCCACCTTGATGACGCGCATCTTCTGAGTTTCCCACATAAGGTGGGAAAACTCACGGCCTTGCTCATTGTCAGCCTAAAATTATTAAAAGGGAAACTTCATTGTCTAATAATGTCAGTCTGTACACAGAGAAATTGGACTAAATGGTGAATCCTGTTGTTTAATGGTACTGCTCATGGTAAACTTTCACATATCAGACGAAAAATATCACAGTATCAGGAGACAATCACAGCCCTGTTCCCTTCCCAATGTTAGTTTACTTGGCCTGGATGATACCCTTTGACCTGTAGAAAACTTCAAACTACAAAAGTTGTGATATATATTACATTAATATACCCTGTACATGATAACTTTGTGTCTTAACCATCCATAACTTGTAATTCACAATCCTTAAATCTTAATCTGAACATTACATATGTTTGTCACATCTGTACATTACACCTGTATATCAAACTTGTACATTACACCTGTACATTGCATCTGTATATTACACATGTATATTATATATGCACAAGACACCCATCACACCTGCATCTATTACAGACATACACATGTTCATCACAACATCACACCTACCTATTACATCTGTATCTCACACCTGTTCATTACAACATCACACCTACCTATCACACCTGTTCATCACAACATCACACCTACCTATCACATCTGTACCTCACACCTGTTCATCACACCTACCTATCACATCTGTACCTCACACCTGTTCATCACACCAACCTATCACATCTGTATCTCACACCTGTTCATCACAACATCACACCTACCTATCACATCTGTACCAAGAATATATTTAATCATCTGATAACTAGTACATAGAATATCAGACATGTTAACACTTATATAGACCAGATATAACACAAAGCAGAAAAAAAACAGAGAAAGAAGGGAAGAGAGAAAAGAGAAGAAGGAGAGAGAAAGGAGAAGAGAGAATAATCAGAGAGCAAGGAGGAGAGAGAATAATCAGAGAGAGAATGGAGAGAAAGAGAGAGAGAGAAAAAGAGAGAGAGAGAGAATAATCAGAGAGAGAAGGGAGGAGAAAGAAGATAGAAAAGAGAAGGGAGGAGACAGAAGAATCAGAGAGAAAAGTGAGGAGAGAGAAAAATCAGAGAGAGCAGGGAGGAGAAAGAAGGGAGAAAAGAGAAGGGAGGAGAGAGAAAAATCAGAAAGAGAAGGGAGGAGAGAGAAAAATCAGAGAGAGGAGTGAGGAGAAAGAAGGGAGAAAAGAGAAGGGAGGAGACAGAAGATAGAAAAGAGAAGGGAGGAGACAGAAGAATCAGAGAGAGGAGAATCAGAGAGAGAGAGAAAAATCAGAAAGAGAAGGGAGGAGAGAGAAGAATCAGAGAGAGAAGGGAGGAGAGAGAAGATTTATTGCCATTCCCAGTATGCACTGGCTACTGAAGCTGTTGTGTATGTACTGACTACATCATCCTCGGCACTCCGCTACTCAAACGTTCTACATGGTGTACCAACTTTATCCTTCTCCTTGGCGGTTGTACTGATTTATCATTCCCATTATCTCTATAATCTATGTTCTCCTATAACACCAATGTAACAGGTTTGCACTAGAGTACACTATAGAGTTGATAACTACTACACCCACCAACCAATACTTACAAAACAGTAAAACTTCCTCCATCTGAGATGGTCTACAGATAACGTTATTTATACAGTTATAGAAGATATACACTTAACACACATTTGTTTATTGTCCCTAACATAAATAATACTATATACATACACCAATATATTTATTTTTCCCCAGTAACATTTTGTGTAAATACAGATTTCAAAATATTATGTTATCAAAGTTAAGAGCCTGGATTATAAATAACATGACAGGTCATTAAAACTGGGCCTTGGATTACACCAGAGTAAGAACCAATTATTTAGAATAATACATACATTGTTAATATTCTACAGGAGATGGTGTTAGAATACATGTTTATCAACAATGAAAACAGTACTGTAACAGACAAACAGATGGATGGACAGACACTCCAGGCAGACTACAACTGGTCTGCTCTATAGAGATATCAGACAGATGAATGGACAGACACTCCAGGCAGACTACAACTGGTCTGCTCTATAGAGATATCAGACAGATGGATGAACAGACACTCCAGGCAGACTACAACTGGTCTGCTCTATAGAGATATTAGACAGATGGATGAACAGACACTCCAGGCAGACTACAACTGGTCTGCTCTATAGAGATATCAGACAGATGAATGGACAGACACTCCAGGCAGACTACAACTGGTCTGCTCTATAGAGATATCAGACAGATGGATGGACAGACACTCCTGGTATATGATATCAATGTAATAGCTAGATCCAGAGAGATTTTGGACTAACATGCAAGATTTTACAAATATAACGGTATTCTCTAATGAAACAGACAGAGGATACCACTAGACATACTGACTATGTCTACAGGAATAATAAAAAGATGGACAGACACCCAATGTTATACAAATGAGAGAAAGATGGACTGACAAACACCCCTGGCCTCTTTGCCGGGTAATACACAGCTATTAGGGCCCTGTGCTCCTTCAAAAGACCAACGATTTGATATATTCTAACAGACAACTTTTTATGGGAATGAAAGATTGTCAGACTGAAGTATGAACAGATAACATCTCTGGTAGTTTATAAATATATGAGGACAACTAGATTATAGAATTGACAGATGGACGGATGGATGGACAGACCCCTGTTTGGGTAGCTTACCACAACAAAGAGAGTAATGTCTGTATATAAAGTGGCACCAGTAAGGTGATAGATATGTTTGGAGTTTCCTACAATTATCTGGAGCTGAAGCAGAGGTATGAAATGAGCATGTGTTGTTGATTACATCATCACAAACAACACACCCAAGGAGTGTGTACATAATAAATACTTTTTATAGAGTACACAAACAACACACCCAAGGACTGTGTACAGTGTCGAGAGTCAATACTTCTAACAGATTACACAAAAACACACCCAGGGACTGTGTATAGAGTCAAGAGTCAATACTTCTAACAGAGTACACAAAACAACACACCCAAGGACTGTGTATAGAGTCGAGAGTCAATACTTCTCACAGAGTACACAAAACAACACATCCAGGGACTGTGTACAGAGTCAATACTTCTAACAGAGTACACAAACAACACATACTTCTAAAAGAGTACACAAAACAACACACCCAGGGACTGTGTACAGAGTCAATACTTCTAACAGAGTACACAAACAACACATCCATGGACTGTGTACAGAGTCAATACCTCTAACAGAGTACACAAAACAACACATCCAGGGACTGTGTACAGAGTCAATACTTCTAACAGAGTACACAAACAACACATCCATGGACTGTGTACAGAGTCAATACTTCTAACAGAGTACACAAACAACACATCCAGGGACTGTGTACCGAGTCAAGAGTCAATACTTCTAAAAGAGTACACAAAACAACACACCCAGGGACTGTGTACAGAGTCAATACTTCTAACAGAGTACACAAACAACACATCCATGGACTGTGTACAGAGTCAATACCTCTAACAGAGTACACAAAATAACACATCCAGGGACTGTGTACAGAGTCAATACTTCTAACAGAGTACACAAACAACACATCCAGGGACTGTGTACCGAGTCAAGAGTTAATACTTCTAAAAGAGTACACAAAACAACACACCCAGGGACTGTGTACAGAGTCAAGAGTCAATACCTCTAACAGAGTACACAAAACAACACATCCAGGGACTGTGTACAGAGTCAATACTTCTAACAGAGTACACAAACAACACATCCAGGGACTGTGTACAGAGTCAAGAGTTAATACTTCTAAAAGAGTACACAAAACAACACATCCAGGGACTGTGTACCGAGTCAAGAGTCAATACTTCTAACAGAGTACACAAAACAACACATCCAGGGACTGTGTATTGAGTCAATTCTTCTCACAGAGTACACAAACAACACATCAAAGGACTGTGTTCAGATTCAAATCATCTCAAACCGTATCAAGCATGGCTGAATAGAAGCACTATCTTACTTTACCATCTCTGACTGCCTTTCAGGAATTATCAATATGATGGTATACAAAGCAACACAAAGAAAACTTACTTTTCTTTAGCCTGATATCTAGAGATATAAACACATCCATTTTTCAGCATGCTCTGACAACTTTTTCACAGAGAATGACATTTCAAAATTCTAGTGGGATTTCTTTTCCTTGTGATAGTGAATGATGTTTGCCCCTGCACTTAAGAAAACTTCAGCTGAAACAAGCTCCAACAGAGTGTCTTCTGTGGTTTGCTCTTCTTTAAAACTTATGCTACATCTTCTGAGGAGAATCCACAACACACAAAAAACTAAGGTGATGGGTTCATTGGATTTTGTGAGTCATGTATGCAAGCTGCATTCCCAATCAAACTTATATCAGACCTGCTCATCATTAGAGAGGTAATGGAACTAAGTCAGAAATAGAATGGGTTTCCCAAATAGATAAGGCAACACTTCTCCATTTAGATAAATTACTTTGTTTAAGAAATCGAGTATGAACCCTTTCTACTTCTTTAGTATAGAGTGAATCTACCTGAACATTAGATATATGTTACTGTAGCTGTGATCACCATCTCTTAGAGTTCATCATCTCTAAGAGCCATTGACATTTACCAATATATCACTTGTCTCCAGTGACAAAAAGCAGAAATTTGAGCTCTGTGTGGCATGCCAGCTTAGAAAAGATTTTAACTGTGTCACAATGTTATCTTTTGTAATTCTACAAAGAAAGGGGAAATAAAGAGAAGACAACTCTGAAAAAAAACACAATAAAAATATCTAAGGGAGATAATTCTACTTACATCTGACAATGTGTGGTAGGTTACTTTCTTGAGGTAGACATTGTACACGGCCCCTTCTTCTCTCTCCTCCCGCCAGAATCTAGTTACATCATCCTGAAAAAAGTTTGTTAAAATTCTATTAGTTCTACACTGATATAAGTGTCACTAATATGTATGTATATCCAGTATTCAGGGGTGTAGAAATGTATACTGTAATGATTTTTATTTTGAAGGATTTCATTTTTCGCTACTTCACAGGATTGAATAAAACTGCTGAAAAAATATACCCTGAAAAGAGAAGTTCTTCACTAAAAATTTTGTCCTGCTTATGAATTCTGCAAAAATACATCTTTTAAGTTTCAGTGATAAGTAATTAAGAAAATTTCAACAATTCAAAAAACAATTCTTATTGTGTTATGAGGTTATTTTATTTCATGAACCCATCCAATTCAAATCAACATGATAGTTCCACTATGTTCAGGGAGTATCAACTGAAAACGTGAGAGGGTCTCTAGTGTATACCTAATGTGTCACACTGATACAGAGAATACAGGACTCTGATATCAGCTTCATGTGTTTGGTGCTGATATAATTAGTGTCCTTTGTACAGTGTCCTATGGCGACTAGAACTACTTACAGGCGACTCTGGTCCTGGTATTGTCTGTGTAAACAAAAGTCCCACTCTACACTAATCACAGAGTTCTATCACAGGAATGGCCTGATAAGTCACATGCTCTTTCACTGTAGCCATTTGTTTATAAAATTATATGTCTAAATAAGTCTAACTTGTAGACTCAGTCCTTTGGCTTCAGACTTCTAAATAAAATTACATGTATATACTAAGCCCAGGATACAGACTCAATCCTTTAGCTGACTTCTTCAAAGCCACAACTTGGTAACAACCATTTATGTGATATATACATTACTTGGTGTAATACTAGCCACCAAATACAGCCTGGAAAAAGAGACTTTCTCTTTAACTGGATCAGTTGAGCATCCAACTAGTAAGCCGGAGGATCTGGGTTTGAATCCTTGCTAAGGCATCAAATAAATAATGACCACCATGGCATATGTTTGTTAGTAAAAATTAATTATGAATATACAAAAAAACAAATAATTTATGCATACTTATGATGTAAATATCAGCAAAGGTGAAGATTTATATAGGCAATGACTGTTATCTCATCCTTTTGTTTATGTTTTTTTAATAAATTTTGTTAAAATGAAATGGCAGGTTCTTTTAATGAATTTTTAAGGAATATATTGTCACAACAAAGGAGAGCTGTGCAATAAAACATCATATGGTATATTTGTTAGCAAAGCTCTGTCAGTTATAGTGACCATTAATGCCATCAGGCAACAATTCAATGCTTATATTTACATTCTAAACTGATGTTGCTGTCTTGATGCCTATGAATTATAATGGATCTAAAATAAAATAATCTATTCATTATTGTAAAAGTATTGTGTTGACTGAAACTGGCATTTTGATTGTGAACTTTTTCTGTTTTAGTAAAATCACACTTCTCTCTGGTTAGTTTAAAGTGATGTATTGCAATGCAATGTAAATATACAGAGGAAGAATGACAACCTGCCTATACAGGTCAAAAAACCTTATTGTTTTATCTTTATTGACTAGAATTCTGGGTAGGTTTCAAGGAAATTCAGCCCTAAAAAATTGTCAAAAAAAAGGTAAATAAATAAACACAAAAATGAAGTGTATGGGTTAAATTTTCTTATTTGAAAATAGTTCAGACTGTATCAGTACAAACACAAGATCTGCAGGGAAATGTAACCATATCCTCTACATTTTCAAGACATACTTTTAAAGTGCTTATCTTTATATGTAAGTATCATATCAATATTTCAAACATATACTCAAGTATTACTATAGGGGCCACTGTAACAGAACATATCACACTGACATCAATGCTTAGTCGTACATGTATCTTAATTTCGTCAGGAAATCAAGTGTTTTCCAATTAATGATAATAGTTTTTGATCACTACTACACCAGACAAAAGGCCTCACTAGTTAAAAATTATTTCTCAAAACAAAATTTTGATGGTTGACAATTCAACCTACAATATAAAGACATGACTTCTTACCCAACCAAGGATTGACAGAGATCTCCTTTTTGTAGGCCTCTTCTTAAGGATAGCAGTGAAAACCTTAGGTTTATTGGAGGATTTGTAAGGGGAAGTATATTTAATAATCCTAGCTCCACAACGTTTATACAAGTGAGACTTCCTCCTGTCCATTATAGATTAGAGCTGGTCAGTATGGGTCAGTGGGACAGCAGCTACGTTTGACCTGGGTCAGCAGCTGATATGTTTGATCATTTGGTCTGTATGAACATATCACACTGATGTGTTGATCACACTGACCACCTAGTATATAAGTCCAATCTTTGTAAGTGGTCCCAGAGCCAACTGCCCATTACATGTAAACACTCAGTTGACAGGTAAGTTGTCAATGACCAGATGGTACACTGACCAGGATGCACCAGTACACTGACCACCAGGTGTTGGTGATGGCCAATTACTCTGTCCTGACCTGAGGCTGTTAACAGGATAATCACACCTGGTTCTAGTCCTCACAATAGATGTGTGAATCTCCTATCAAATATCACACTTATCCTATACTATTTACATACAGGATGTTCACCAATAATTATACACTTACATAATTAACACTAATGTCTATGATATCAATATATCATGAATAATTATCTCAATTATCAACACCCTTCATCTGAAGATAATTATGATTATATTATAAGCAATATTAATAAAACCTGCCCTTCCCCCCCCCATCCATTTCTATATTACACTGGTTATGTTATTTTATCTGTGTTGTTCTTGTTGATTTCATTGTAAAATTCATCTAAATCATTTAATCATTAGAGGTATCATTTATTTACACTTAATTAATTTGAACATATAATTTCAATCTTTTAATTCAACAGTATTGGTGACCTTGATCTGTTTTTTTTGGTTTTTGTTTTTGTTTTTTTTTGTTTATTCCTTCGAGGCAACATTTCCAAAGCTTACATGAAGTTTTACTGAAATCCATTCATATTTAAAGTTACCAGACAGTAACAACGACCATGAGCTTTACCCTGCAATCCTCAAAATATCAATGTTTTTACGTATGACGTTTGTATTAAAGAGACATAAGTGGGTCAAAACGCGCGCGCGCGCGCCGCCGCGCGCGCGCGCGCGCGCGCGCGCGCGCGCGCGCGCGCGCGCGCGCGCGCGCGCGCGCGCGCGCGCGCGCGCGCGCGCGCGCGCGCGCGCGCGCGCGCGCGCGCGCGCGCGCGCGATATGAGCAATACACAAAGTGAAGAGTTCAACATAAAATTGTATTGAAGGGCATGAAAAGATGTATGAAATGTGATTTTCAGAAAATTGGTGTACTTCTGTGAAATTTGATATCTGGGACTTTCAGCAGAGCACCATTTTGTATAAAGGATTTCATGTGATGTTTGAAGACATTCAGACTTAGAAACAATATATACAGTGTAACATCACTAAGATTTTAACTAAAAAATATGAAAACAGAAAACACTTACAAAATAAAACGGCATACTAATTCTCCATGAAACACACAGCTGTGAGAAGAAATCTCATAGTATAATCATTTGTGCTCATACATTTTCTGGCCTTGTAGTATCTATTTTTAAAATCAGAAAGCCGCTCTTTATATCAATACAATTTCTGGAGTCATTGTAGTAAAAAGAACGCCACCAGTATTTACACAATTCCTTGAGTCCTTGCTGTAAACAGAGAGCCGCCAATATTTACACAATTCCACGAGTCCTTGCTGTAAACAGAGAGCCGCCAATATTTACACAATTCCACGAGTCCTTGCAGTAAACAAATAGCCACCAATATTTACACAATTCCTTGTATCCTTGTATTAACAAATATATTGGTGTTTAGAACATAAGTTGTTTCCGTCCACTGAACACTGATATATTCATTCATACAACGCATGTAAATTGTATTTCAGCCAAAATAAATTGAAACTTGGTATGCATCAATTGGACGCCCATATGAACATGTCAGAAGAGCACTTGAGATGTAATTGTCGACAATGATGAGGGACAGCGCACAACACGCTGCCTCATTACATGCTCTAGTGTGACCTTGAGGTGGAAGGTCAATAACAGCCACTTACTGATATACTAAACTATAATTCACATCACACCCATTAGAAACAGCATCATGGCTTATATTTCATATAAATAATCAATCTGTGAAAAAACAAAGTATACCAGAGAGATAAGAGACTGTTTATCTATCCCACACTCCATCACATAAACAGATATATATATAATGTACCCTTGCCATTTTTGGAGAAATTACACTGACTTATTTGGTATTTAAACCACTAAACATACCTTTATAATTCAGATATTTCAGAATAGATAGCAGGAAATTCTAAGTCCTGCTTGATAAGAAAAGCAAAAGATTCTGCTTCACGATAGTATCATTTTTGAAGTTTTTGGTGGTTTTTAAATAGAATATTGAAGAACTAATTTCTCAACCACATTTAAACCACAAGTATGTGTCTCCTCTGTCAACAGGTTTCTCTAATGGGAAGAAAAGTGCATAAATGTCATTTAAACCACAAGTACCAGCCTCGTCTAAATAAACTCATTCTTTAATTACATTAAGTATGAGTGTACATGTATTGATATATGAGGCTGGTACCTGCATTTAAACTCTGGCCAGCTTTTGAGCTCCACTTACATTGTGCAGTACTGTCTATAAAAACATGACCTAAGCTGTATTTTATTGTAGAGTATGAAAACCCATTCAACTCAAAGTAATCAAGACATAGGAAAACCCAATCTTATACTACATGTATAATATATAATAAAACCTTTGAAATGTTTAAGGAGAATTTCTTAAAATTACCACACTAAGAGACAGTACAGACAATTTTGTAGGGAGTCAGCTCGAAATATTCACACAGGATCAATAAAGGGACAGTAGTTATATATGAATTAGAGTGTCAGCTCAGAAATACAGACAAGGAACACAAATGGAATTCTCAGGTCCAAGTATACAAAGAAATAGAAGACAACCTTACATAAATGTCAGGCT